GTCATCCCCATTTATTAACTCTCCAGCAGACACACAACGTCCTGTGCCATTTCAGGTTGGGAACTTTGCCTCTTGCATATATATATTTCTCTTATCTTCTGTTTTTGTTATATGAATCTTTTTTGCTTCCCATCATTTCTTTCTCATTTTTCTGCACCTATCACATTCATATTGCTTCTATTTTTTTCAGGGTCAGACAGAATATTCGTCTCCATTTATCAGTGGTTCATCTGCGATGTCGTTACCGTCTTCCCTTCCCTTATCAGATTCAAAGTATGCCAGGACTTCTGTGTCTTCTCCTGGTGGACCTAGTAGGCCTCTTCCCCCACTTCCTCCTACGCCACCTCCTTTTGCATCAAGTCCATATAATTTGCCATCTGGTAAAGCTTCTGCTACCCAACCTTCTGTATATACCCAGAAAAGTATTGGGACAACTGAAGTTCCGCAGGCATCCATTGCACCATCAAACGATGCCTGGTTAGGTAGTCAGTCTGGATCGGGGGTCAGATTGTCATCTTACCCTGTGAACCCATTAATGCCTTCCTTGGGGTTCAGTAGACCATCTTCCATTCCATTGACTGTCTATGGTAATACCCCAAATCAGCAACACAGTGAAAACCAGCCAAGCACCGTGCAGGGCATCTCCATTCCTCCGGCTTCCTTTCAGTCAATGCCTTCTGTTACACAGTTGCAGCCCCTGCAGCCTCCCCAGCTCCCACGCCCTCCACAACCTCCCCAGCACCTTAGGCCGCCTATTCAATCTTTACTACAGTTGGATCCTGGTATGAGTGTTCAAAGTGGGGTGCAAGTGCAGCAAATACAGATGCTGCAGCAGCCGCAGGCTTCTATGCAGACCTATTACCAGACCCAATCACAAGAGTTCTCACAAGCTCAACAGCAAAGGCAAGTTGAATATCCTCAACAGTTGGGGGATCCTCAATTGCTGGAGCAACGAGATTCTGGGATGTCTTTACATGAGTATTTCAAGTCTCCAGAGGCAATCCAGGTTTTTTTTTAATGCACTATTTTTTTTTTATGTAAGCGATAATCACATTAAATTGGCCTGGCTTTAGTCTTCATCATTGTATTGCTCTTTCTGATATGGCAGTCTTTGTTGAGAGACCGAGACAAACTTTGTCAGCTCTTGGAGCAGCATCCAAAATTAATGCAGATGCTTCAGGTGGTTATATTTATTTGTTTCTTATTGTAGTTCTAATTTCTTATATCTGCTAATTAGAGCGGAAGGGGAATGGTTTTATGCACCCAAGAAATAAGGGTCAAATCTAGTTATTTGCTCTGATACAGAAGAATAAAAATCTGCTGGCAATTTAACTCTTGCATGTCTAACTTCGTATGTGTCCGGATATTCGGGATAGTAGGTGATGGTTAATTGTGAAAAGTGGTAGTACTGCTTGTTGGTCTAAGTATTCACTTTGTTGACGATTCAGATTTTGGCTTGCTGTTGTTGCGTTTCCTGTAGCACTTGCCTTATTTAACTATCCCGCCGGAACGCATCTCATTTTCTAGCATGCTTCTAACGCTAGCTGAAACCGGATGAATTAAGTGCTGGGTGTTATGAAATTTATTGGAGGGTATTTCCTGCGATGCACTTGGACTGATGATGATGTTTTTATACAGGAGAGGTTGGGGCAGCTGTAGGTTGTAGCAGCATGATGTCTCGGTGGAAACAGCGACTTCTTGCATTATTCGCTCTTACAAATGCACCAAGTCACGTGATAAGATGTGCACGTTGTTTTGCACCAATTTGTACCCTTATATGTATATTTATTTATTGTACATAACTATTTCATTCCTCCTTTATAATATAGTTTTTTCTTTTATAATATAGTTTTTTTCCCCTGAAAGGCAATGGAAGAACCATACAAAAGAAACAGGGACTGCCAGCCTCTCAATCTAACTCCCAAATTTCCCTACATCCTAAGGGGCGTTAGTATGGAGGGGGTTGGTACTTGGCTTCCAAAAGATAAATTTAACTGACAGGTTTCAAAGAAATTTGTTGAAAGAATTAGTTGCAAATATTAATTTGAGCACTTATAAATGTGTCGATACAAATTAAGCATTTAAGCCATTGCCAGTGATTTGCAACAAGGGAATGTTTATAATTATTTAAAGCAAAATTTATAACTTATTCCTCAATAAAATATTTTGGGACTTTATTCTTATTAAATTTTTTTGGGCCCAATTGTCATTATCTTTTATAAGAGAGTTGGTAGAGATCATGAGGAAGTAGTAAAGCCAATTCTTATATTTTCAACTCAGTTTAGCACGAGTGATGTGGATTCTTATTCTTTAAGCAAGTGGTTTGACGGTTTGATTCTCAACATGTGTATATCCTTTGCCATCTCAATTCTGAGGAAGATTAATGTTTGTTGTTGATCGAGAATGCGCCTTGTCTTACTTTTTTTTTTAAGAGGCAGTTAGCATTTGTATTACTTTTTTTCTATGGATGTGATTCAAAACAATGTCCTGGGCCCTAGTGAGATTCATCTTGATTTCATTGATAAGGCTGTGTCTTTAAGTGGGGTGAGAGGTGTTGCTTTTGATTCTTATCGCTTCTGCAGGGTCCCTTGTGACCGCCACTTGTCAACATCCATCATCCTAACATATTCTGATGCCTTAAAGAATGCCATCGATTGTAGTTTTAGTGTTATCAACAGAGTCTAACTTTTTCATGAAACTTCGATACAATTTTCTTGAGAATCATGGATCCAACCTACGCATGAAGCTTATAGTTTTCAGTTTGATTGCCTATTGGGTTGGGAATGGTTATATGGAATGGGTTTGAGCATGAGTTTATATATTTCATTTGTGTTCGTACAGATCCAAGTACTACAGAAATACGGAGTCAAACCTGTGACTTTATGTACATTATTGTTGGGTAAAGCTGTAAATTTGGCTTCAAATTATTTTTTCAAGAGCATCTAGTAGCCTAAATTATTAAATGGTGTAAAATAAATCACAAACTTTTAAAAATGGAGCATCTAGTAGCCTGTCATTAACTTTAACTAACAGACGTTATGTGGGGTCTACAATGACATGTGGCACGATACGTCAGCATGATAAAGGTGCAAATTTAGTTGCAAACTATTTTGCAAGGAGCGTTGGGTAGCTTCTACTATAAAAAAATGGATCATTCAACACCTTCCTCTCAATTTTGATCAAACATTATTTATTTTCATACTCATGAAGTTCATAAAGCATTAATCTCTCTATCTTCTTGCCTTTGTTTTTAATCTCAATTTGAGAAGAAGAGGTTCAAAGAGTTTTTATCTAAAGATATTCACGAAGATGATACTAAGAAAGTAGAAGAAATAATTCATGACTAAATTAAGCTATAATTAAACTTTTTACATGCATAGTACAATTAAGCTTTTACTTTATTGACATCCCCCTCATGAATGTTTTCAGATAAGAACTCATTGAACCTTTTCTTTTGAAGCTTATATTGAGAACAAATGCAAGAAAATTGGAGAGATTAATACTTTGTGAGCTTCATAAGTATAAAAATAAATAATGTTTGATCAAAATTGAGGGGAAGGTGTTGGATGGTCTGTTTTTTTATAGTAGAAGCTACCCAGCGCTCCTTGAAAAATAGTTTGTTGCTAAATTTGCACCTTTACCATGTTGACGTGTTGTGCTACGTGTCATTATAGGTCTCACATAATGTCTGTTAGCTGAAGTTAACAACGGGTTACTAGATGCTCCATTTTTAAAAGTTCGTAATTTATTTTGTACTATCTGATAGTTTAGGCTACTAGATGTTCTTGAAAAAATAATTTGCGGTTGAATTTGCTACTTTATCCCATTATTGTTTGAAGAGAAAAGTATACAAGTTTTTCTATTCCTATTAAAGTTTCAATTTCATATTTTATTGGTGATAAATGTTTTTCTCAACAAATGTGAATTTCATATCTTTGTAATGACAACTCGAAGTGAATATTTTGCTGGAAAACATTTATGTGCTGCTTTTTTAAGCTATATTCCAAATAGCTCACCAAAATAAGTTTTTTCAAGATATCTTTTACTCGTATGTGTTTAGTTTAAATTCTCCCAACAACTCCCTTGACCCTTGTACTCTTGACAATTTTCTCATGGTTAGTCTGTAAGGTTCTCTTTAATTATTTGGGAAAATTTTGAAGAAATGGGAATGAGAAAATCAGAAAAAGGATGAAAATGATAAAAAATAAAATGAAATTTTAAAAGTACATTTGTTATATTCCAGAGTTTGAATACAATCTTGATAAAAATTTATTTGATGTGAAAGATTTTTTTAACACTATTTGATATAGAAGAGTTGAATATAAAAAAAAAAATAAATGATTATGTAAAATAATTTTTATAAGTATAAAATAATAAAATAAGATTTAGGATAAATTAATCATTCAATTTTTATAATTTTAATTTATTCAAATTTTAATTCTTAAAATTTGACTCGGTATATTTCACTTCTTTCTTATAATTTTAATTCAGCTAAAATTCAATTGTTGAACTACCTTTATATAGCTTAGTTCTTATGTTTAACTATTTAAAATATTAGTTTAAATATTTTAAAAAAATTACAGAAACTGAATTTATTTTTAAAATTTAGGAATCAATGTTTTAAATTATTAAAATTATAGATACAAGGTATATTGAGTTAGAATTTAAAAACTATCTCCTTTAGTTTTATATATAAATCACATTTTGAAAAGAATTCAGTATCTTTTTTTTAAATCACCTTATATAAAAAGATGGATCATTAATTGTTTCTTTTTAATTTTACCTTTTTATAATTTTCCATTAGCAAAGAATAAAAGTTAGGTGGAAGAGATAATGTTTTAAAGATAATATATTTAATAAAAAAAAATTGAGATTTTTAGTTATAGGCAACATCAATAATTTAACCATCTTTTATTTATTTTAATAAAATAATTAAATGTAATTTATTAAAATTAGAAGAAATAAATTTCAACCAAATCAAAACTAGGAAGAGTTGCGAATCGAATCGCACAAGATTCAAGTTTCGAGGCATTGACGAATTAATTTTCGACGATTATCAAATTCTTCCTAAAATAGTTGTGACCCCCATAAACCATTCTCGTCAGTCGCGGATCCATTTCTATTCTTCGACGAACAAGCATTTCCACACTCCGTCAGGAGCCATCCACCGTTGTCAGCCTTGCGTGGTTGTGCTCGGGCGAGCAGTGAAGAAGGTTCGAACCCCTGGGCCTTTTCTACTCCCAAAGTCCTGTGAGATTGATTTGTTCAAGCTTTGAATCTAGATTTCAATTTGTTCCCCGCGTCATCTGTTCCTGCGTGGCTGTTCTTGCTTTGTTTTAAGTTTTCCATTTTAATTTCTTTGAATCTGGTCATGCAATTGTTTGAATATCGACGCTTTTGAATTTGAAAATATTTACATATTCAGTTTTTTTACTAGTTTTTGCTTAAATGGTGTGTTATTTGCTATTTTACTTCTTCACTCTTCATTTTGATTCCAGCGACTTGTATGATTTGGATTGTGATTTTTGCAATGTTGGATTTGTTGTGTATTGACATTCTGTTTTTTGATCTTTTTATGTCACCATCAATTTTGGAAAATTCTCAAGATATTTGTGGTGTCACTGGTGTGTGATCTTGTAAGTTGTAAATGACTTGGCTCGAGTTATGTCAAAGTATCTGGAACACAAATTAAACGTGTACTATATCAACTATGCATATTTCAAAGATTTCACCGGGGGCAGATGCCCTCACTGAATGTAGTATAGGTCCGCCTATGGTTTACTCTAGTGAATATTTGTTTACTTGTTCTACTTTCTCCTCACTCTGTGTACGTAGCCTTTCTTCAGTTATTCTAAATTTCCAGTGTCTACTATTATAAGCAAGGAATTTTGTCTGCTTGATTACTTACCGTAAAGTAGAAGTTTTATCAACGAGGTTAATTGTTTTTATTTCAACATTGTTATTTAAGAATAATTATCTGAATGTAGATTTATGGTTTTTCATCTATCCTTCGGTCTTGAGATAAAAAGGCAACAAAACATAGTGCTTTACTAATTGAGAATGTGAAAGAGGTTAGATGGTTACAGGAGCTCCTTATCTGTGCAAGGAAGCCAATATTTACATTGAAAATTTAGGAGTTCATACAAACATTTACACTTATGAACTAGTGCCTAACATGCATTTGTTTGTCCTCTTTTTCGAGGCTTGTCAGTCTGACATTCTTGCTTGATCAAGTAACTAGACTCTGGTATCATTCTGCTACATCTGACATTGATGGTTAGCTGAGAATGTTTCTCTTATAATAATTAAAAGATTTGATAGGTCTCTTACTAAGGTGATTTTGTGCTACTTACATGGAGGTCAAACTCTTATGATTTTATAATTGCAGCTTCAGGTGCTATGATTTGTGAAGAATTGGCTACTGTACTTGACTCCAATGGAGTCTGCTGTATGTTCTTTCTTCACCCTATCTCCATTTACACTATTGTTAAACATCAATGGTCCATCTTTTCAAAGCTCTGCCTTTTCAAGGGTCAATTGACTCGTTTTGTGTGCAATTCTTGAAATGGAATGTTTCAAGGATAAAATAGCACATTTGTAATGTATCTCTTCCATCTCAAATTTTTCTTTTCAAGTATCTGGTTTCAAAATCTTTTTAAGCCTACAACACTACTGTCTTTTCTGTAGGTTAGAGATGCAAAGATTTCCTGCACGCTAGGTGATCGATCCACCAGTGACTTAGTTGTGAGGTTACGCACACAGGATGGTCGAGATGATTGGCTTTACTGCCACACAAAAATTCTTACAGAAAAATGTACATATTTTAATGACAGGCTGTCTGAGAACTGGCCAACGTGTCAAATCATCGATTCACGCAGTTGTGTTGAGGTCTTCTGTCAGGAATCAGATTTTGATTACCATGTGAATCTTATACGCCTTCTCTATGTTGTCATAGATGGTTCTGTTGATGACCTGTGGCATGGTGTTAGAAATGCCCTTGGCATTCTCCAGGTGGCAGTTGAGCTTGGATGCCCTGAAATCATTACTGCTTGTGTCAGCTACATAGAAGCAGTTGCATGGGAAGAGTCTGAGGAGGAGGAGATTTTAAAAATTGTACCTCGACTGGGATTACAGGCTGAGCCTATCCTAGCTAGACTTCAACCAGTCAACCAGTCAGCAATTGTAAGCATTTTTATCTCAGCCATTCACTTTGCTACATCATCTCCTCCACCATCATTGAATGATCTTAAATCTTCAGCTCAGGAGCAACTAGAATACATGCTAACTGAAGATGATGATGCCCCTTTATTGACAGCTGATGACAACATAAAATATGAGGTGAAAGAATGTGTAAAGAAACTTTTTGCCAGGTTTAACAATTCATTGGCAATTTTGTTGTGTGATTCCACAGAGTCACTTTCTGAGGCAAGGAATATTCAGTTTTTCCAATCCTATTTGACCGATTTATCATGGGCTTGTCAGATATTGAATAAGTTGGAAATAATGAGGGAATTTGTGGAGAGTTGGTTTGATGCATCCGAAAAGATAGTGAAGGTGCTTGAGCTAGGGATTTTAGCAACTGAAATCATTGAGATAAAGTTGCGAGCCATAGAAGTGACATCAAGGGTTCTAGAGGCGATTGGTTATGGAACTGTAATATTGCCAACTGCCAAACGCCTTGAGATTGTGAAAGTGTGGCTTCCGTTTGTGAGGATTACTAAACCTATGATTGATTCTGTAACAAGGAATAGTGATAATGCTCTGGCGCTCAAATTTGATGGTGAACTGTGGCAGTCCCTTGAATCGACTTTTGTTTCTATCGTTCTGGCATTGCCTTCAGGGGACCAAGCTGAGGTTTTAACTGAATGGTTAGCAAACGACTATGTTCGGTATCCGGACCTGACAGAAGCTTTTGAAGTATGGTGTTACAGATCCAAGGTTGCAAAGAGAAGGCTATCGTTGCTGGGAGATGAGCATGGTGCAAGCAACTCGCAGTTTGATCCAGGACGACTTCTCCAGTGAAGGCATTTAGAGGAGAATGTTATCCTGTCTTTGCCCCAGAGCGGTAATTTCTGAGGCATCTCATATTTATTGTAGTTCCAAGTGCTAACTGTATAGAGTGTAATTCTTGGAAAGAATGATGTGCCAAAGTAAGCTTGGCCTTGATGTATAATTTACCTTTTCAGATCATGCTACTTGCGTGAGTTAAGAAGTGAGTATGTATTCGGCTCCAGAAGTCAGAGACCTTATCTTGTGAACGAGTTAACTAGTGTCTTTGTAGGTCTTTTTTGTTTGTTTGAAAAGAGTATCTGTAGTGGAAAAACCATACATGAACTGTACAAGTTAAGAAGACATCTCTCTATGAGGAAATACATCAACAGGCTTACTGAACTCATGCTAATGTAAGATCAACATGGCCTAGCTCTATCCACTACGCTCTAAAATGCCATCTGAACCTGGATCAGGAGGCCTGCTTGGAAGGGAGGGCTGTGTAGTTTCATTTATGCCTCAATCTGGATTCTTTTCAGCGAGTTGTATCGTAGGTATCTGCTAAAATTTAAAAATAGACATTATCATATTGTAATTAAAATGGAAGTTAAACAAATCAGAGGCGTCCAATTATGCATTTTATGCGCGTAGACCGTCAAGCTACACGAGATAGACTGCAATGTAACCATTGAATTATGTTTAATTTCAGAGACATGATATAATGAATTCACTGATGAGGATAAATTACAGATTAAACCTAGCAGCCTTTTTTTTTTTTTTTGAATTAAACCTAGCAGCCATTGAAGGAGAAACCCAATGGAAAGTGACTTCTACCTTTGCAAAAAAGGAACAGAGCCCCCACCAATCATTGAAGGAATGGTTTTAGAGAAAAATGTGCTAGTAAGTACCGCGCAAAGATTTCATTTTTCTTAAGTTGCAAGAAAGAAAGGATCAGATAGCAAAGACATTTTACTCTTTCCTACTCAAGAGCTGTGGTACCCAGAATTTGCATCTGTAGTGAAACTGTTTGTGTAAATATGGAAAGTAATAAGAGGAGGTAACTTGGGGGAGCGTTTCTATTGGTTGCAAGGATCGGGGGATGAGTTTGTGTTTGTAGGGATGTGCTTCATATTCTCGTATTAAGGCCTTGTCTGCTGTGGAAAGGAAACTCGAAATGAAATTGTGAAACCGAGGCTTTTGCTTCCCCAGTCACCCTCATCTCCGCCAATATGAACATGCCACGTATGCCAAACACCGACACCGAGTATTCGGAGCTGTGACACACACCTGGCCAACTTACCCTCATGCAACCTCATGTGATGATGGCTTGGAAGCAGCAGACATTTCCAAGATTGGCTCTCATATATCATGTGCATCTCGATACTAACTTCAACCCAACGCTCAATAGTCAATATAACTCTTTCTCCACCTCTTGACCTTGTCTTCACTTCGCTCCCTGAGATAGAATTGCTTCTCAGGGCTGTTGATTGGGGCAGATGCAGTCTGCTGAAGGTAGAGGAGGTGATCATGGAGGGTAGTGGGTGGAAGCCTAATATAGAGATATCACCGAACTGTCCCAGGTGTGGGTCTTGCAACACCAAGTTCTGCTACTACAATAACTACAGCTTAACTCAACCTCGCTACTTCTGCAAGGGCTGCAGAAGGTACTGGACCAAAGGAGGATCGCTCCGCAATGTTCCCGTCGGCGGTGGCTGCCGGAAGAACAGGCGTGGCAGTAAGACCTCCTTCAGACAATCATCCATGGATGCTCTTCCTCCCAAGATTTCACCTCATGATAATTGTGATCCTTCAACAAATCCATCTTCATGTGGCTCCTCGGGGCTGTCTGATGCTCCAAAAATTGATCTTGCACTTGTTTATGCGAATTTCCTCAATCAAAAGCCGGATTCACCAGCACCAAGCGTAGAAGTTGTGGGTTTGCCCCGAGATGATCAACTTGGTGTTAGTGGGTACTTGACAGAATCCCAGCTGAGTGAGAGCAACCAAATGTACCTGTGCGGGTTCAACTCTGTGCCGCAAAATCAGGCAGATCATGGAATTGATCAGCGTTGTAATAGACATGATGCTATGAATTTTGAGTTGCCACCATTGCCAGGTGAAGAGGCAGCCTTCAATGATATGATGTGGTCCAAATCTGGCCCGCACTCCTCACAGCCCCCTCTTTTTGGTGTTGATGCTCATCACGCCGACTTCTTATTGGACAATTGGAGCCCCTTCGATTTATCCAGGCCTTAGACACAAACTGTTTCCCTTCATTGTTACCCTTGTTCTGCTTTTTAATATGTATATGATGAATGCATCATGTGTAATTCAAAGACGTAAACAGACACAGTACCTCTTCGGTGCTAGCCACATATATATGGGGAACCTCTGTTCTGATAAGCTCTAAGAGCTCTTGAACACATTTTCTCTATGTACCTCAGTTTTGTCTTGTACTTTCTGGTGTTTCATGATTCTGGGGACAAAGCATTTCTTCATGTTCACTAGTTGAAGTTTTTTTATACCATATTCATAGTTATTCAGGTCTGATCTTGAGTGAGCTCCAGATCGATATGCCATAGCTCCTCGATCGGAAACATTACTTGATGATCTAGAAAGAAATGATATCTTAATACGTGCATATATAACAAAAGATTACACGATATTCAAAATATTACAATTTTTAGAATTTTAAAATATAGATAGAGACGTGTATCTTTAACTCTGCATGGACACAAACACGTAAATCAATGATGAAAATACATTATTTTACCTAAAAAAATGAGATATAGAATAACAGCGTCGTGAGTTTAATTTATAGTCCGCGAACTGGGTAGGCTTGAAGGCAGACTTTTAAGCTTTAATGTTACATAAGCCTAAAACCTCAATTTGACTAGTATTCGGATCCTTTTACAAGTAGTATCCCTGGAAATTTCATACGTCAACTCTATGAAATAATTAATAGGATCGTCAAAACCTGCTTGCTGGTGGTTAATCATTAAGGTCAATGTACTGAGGTTTTTCTCATTTTCATGTAATCAGTTGCCAATTCTCAAGAACTCCTTTCTCTCCCTTCTCTCTCTAAATCTAAACTCGATTTAAACAGTAATTGCCAAATCGATGATGTTAATATCTAAGATATATGCCAAATTCATGAGCCTTGTAAAGTAGCGAGCTGGCCACGTACGTAAACCAAGCTCACCAGAGACGACCAATTACGGTTTTTTTTTTAAATAATTTTTTTGGTTCACGGGAAAATATTCAAAGTTTGAAAGTAAAGACTTGGAAAAGAGAGCAATCACAGACTTCAAACTGTGTGCAGCACGTGATCCCAGAAAGCACATGATCCAAGAAACTATACTCCCACGTACTATCAACTTCGAGTCAACAAATGTCCATAGTTTATATAATATATATATATATATATATATGAGCGCACAATATTAAAGAAAAAAGATATTCATTTGGCTGCCCAGTCGGTTGAGGCGAAATTTGTTTGTTCGTTTTTTTTTTTAACAGTTATATGTACGATACCTTAACCATGATTATATTATCTTAAATCAGCGGAAAACCGAAGAGCCCAAAAATAATATTAAAATAAATCAACAAGCAGAATTGATATTTTATATTGGTTGATTTGTAAGAATATTTGTCATCGATAGCGCGTATTAAATGACCCGCATGGCTTCCTCGTTATTCAACGTTGATCCAGGCGCTCTTTATGTTTGTTCCATTTATTACGTATTTTCAGCTGGTCAAGCATCCGCGCGCTCGCCATAAAGTTTCTCAATGCAATTATGTATTCATGGAGTTATTTTCTACAAGTGTGTACCGCAATTTTCTTGACGGAACACGCACAAAACTAATTTTGCTTCTTAATTAAGAGAACAAATTATACTAATTTTCTCTGGACAACCACGTGTCATTCACATTTGTGCACGTACGTAGATATAGATTTCTGCGTCAATTGGCTGCGAAGACAAATTATGTAATAAATCATCACCTGCGTGCATGGGTGAATGTGAAACCCCAAAGTGGTGAAACTTGTAAAACACATATAACCAGAGGGGCAAAAGCTTTTGATGTTGCATGTTTGCATATTTTATTTTCGTTCAATTTTCTATCCCGTTCAACGTTCATAGTTAGCTATTGCTGTGTCATATATTCCAGAACTCTCTCCCTAATTTCTTTTTAATCATTTAAAATTTATCTCATCAACTGTTCTTTAAATCGCGAGGTTTGATCTCGCTACTGATTATATATATTTGATCAAATTTTTCTCTTTTTCAAAAACTAAAGTGGCTAAATTATAACCATTGTGTGTTATTAAAAAAAAAGTTCCAAAACTAATATGAACATATGGTATATACTGATTTTAAATAAAAAATACCTATTGGAATCAGATCCCCCTCAAATATACCAATGCATACATGTTATATTATTTTTTAATTAAGAGCTAAACATATTTTTTTACCAATGCAGAGACAGTTAAATTTACGGTTTGAACTATAAAATATATAATAGAAAATGTAATAAATATTTTTTCAATAATTAATTCCTTCCAGTGGGTATTTCAATTCTACTTTGATATTAAATTTTGTGCATATATTCTCACAATGGCCAGAAGAATTGTATTTTCCAAATTTAAGTATTTAGTGTAATTGTAAAATATCACCAAAAAAATATTTTAGTGAAAAAAAAAGAACTCGGTTATAGTCCTGTTTTTAAACAAATGGATAACCAGAAATTAATAAACTAAATGGATCTTGTTCTGGCAATAGTACATTACACGCGCACATCCCCAATCACAATATAGAACATTTTTTAAAAGTTTTGTTTAGTTTAAAATATATATAATTAATTTTCTAACTATACCCCTATTTTATTTATTATTCTTTTTAAAAAAATGATGTATTAAAATTTTAATTGTCATTACCAAGACACTTATATAGATTATTTAATGAGGATATAATTGAAAAGATGTACTTTTTTTAAAAGAAATTTAAGTTTCAATTAACATTTTTTATAATCATAAATTAGTCATCAATGCCCTATGTTGTGATTTGGAAGTAGTATATGTTACATTTGACAGCTAATTAACCTTCCCTTAATGTTGGATTCTCTTAAACTTGAGCAGGGAAACCCAACTTGATACCTAGCCTTCCCTTAACGGGCCATGCTTGATGCCCGTGAATGATTGTTTATAATCTGTACTCCCAAACTATATGTTTCTGTACAAAAGAAAAAAAAAAATTGGAATGACTTGAAATAGAATCAAGAGAGGAAATCCAAATCTCGTGGGCGATCAAGCCAAGTACGAACCCAAACTGGTGGGTATGCATGAAGTATTATTGCACGAATGAGCAAGCAGTTTGAGAATCTCTCTAGCTTTCTCTTTCGTCTTGCTTCCGCTCTCCACTTGCATCACCAAACACAGCTTCACCACCACACCCACCTGTATCATTTCCTGCACAACACTCGGAGTCGCCGAGAACATTGAAACAGACAGCAGAATCCTCACCGCCCTCTCGTTCGCCATCGTCGAAACCCTCAGAATCTTTTTCGACACGACGGCCAGCCCTGCCCCGTGGCTCAGCAGCTCTGCTCTTCCCTCCGCACACCCACACAGGATATCCAACACCACCAGCATCATCTCACACACCTTCCTCTCCTCACAATTCAGAAGAAGTTCTATTAATTCCCAAACACACCCTACTTTTACTGCCCTGTACCTGTTTCTCCCCCAGGGGCAGAGTTGGATCAGTGTTTGCAGCGTCGCATATGTAGCCTGCTGGGAGATTTGATCTTTAAGAACTTGTACCAATTCAACGAATAATTCATATCTTATGTTGAACAAACGTGCAGAATCAGCCACTTGGAACATTGAATTCAGTAAAAGAACCGCGCAGGCTCGTGACTCGAAGCCTCCCCTCTGCATGACTGAGGTTAAGGAATCAATGAACCTGCCGTTTCTGAAGGCCATGAGAGATTTTAAGCTAGCTTCGGACACGTGGAGGCTGTGGAGAATGCTTAAGGCCTCGTCCTGGTTAGGCTCCTCCTGGGACGAGGCTGCGGATATAACAGATGCTAAGAACTCGACAGCGCCAGAGGCTTCCATGCAGCGTCTGTTAGCCTCGCTGTCGGAAGCGATACATTTGAGTTCTCCGAGACACCGAGTGAGGGATTGAGGTGATCGGGAAGCGTCCCTGATAAGCTTGGTAATCTGGGTTCTGGTGATTGGAGGCTTGGGTGTGGGAATCCTTTCGATGCCGTGAGAAGCGTTCACGGTGCACCAAGCCTGAATCAATCGGCGAAGGGTGTGGTTAGGGGTGAGATCGATGTCATGCGACAGGGGTTGTTTAGTAACTGGGCAGGTCATGTTTTTGCCGGAGAAGAGCCATTTCTCAATACTCTCACGGTCGTAGGTGACACCGGTGGACACAGTCACGGGATCCTTCATGATTTCGAATGAAACGGGGCAGATAAAGAAGGGTGGAACGTCAATCTCGTGATCCATAGGATGGACGAAAAGGCCGAAAGAATGGATTTTGGTAAGAGATAGAAAGACAGAGGTAGAAGGAGAGAATATGAGAGAGCTGAAAATGGGTTAATGGTTGGAGTTGGTTGGGATTTAGTTGGGAGAGAAGGAGAGGGGGAAGCGGTGTTATATATAAGGGAGGGCGTGTTAGGGCAGTGTGGAAGTCGATAAACGCAGAACAAACAAAAAGCCTCCGGAGAGAAAGAGGGAATTGAATGACTATTCAAAGGGAAGGGCTCAAGGAAGGACAACTGTACCCAGTCATCATGCGATGTTATGGGGATGAAACGCGACGGTGTGGAGGTATAATAAAGGCACACGTGGATTTAATTGGGAGACCAGGTTGGCTAATTCCTTTGACTTTCTCTCTCTAGACGCCGGTTTGCCATTCCAGTTGGTTGATGGGTTCTTCAAAAGTGGGTTTTGACTGCGGCCGGTGGATCCTATTCAATTCTGCAAATTCCTCCCTGCTCCTACTATTCACTCTATTTCTTTCTCATTAATTGTTCACACGCTTCCCTCATCCCTTGCCTGTGAAAGTTACATTCTTCAAATGGATATTTGGACAAGATCTTGAGTTTGGGAAATAGAGTTTTGAAAATTACCAAAATAAACCAAACAATGGTTTGGTGAAAGTCGATTTAGTAAAAAGTTTTTGAACGGTTAAGAGTTAAATCCGAAATCCCAGTCTATTATTCACAGAGATTAATTCTTCTATTGAATATTATAATTGCCAGCGGACTTTACATGTGCTTCTATATTTTTATCATGGGATGACGTTTTTATAGGAATGCAAATAAAAATTCTGACCGTAACTTCCTTGTTGCAACATGAAAATATGTTTGATGCTATATAACATAAATATATTAAAAAAATTAACGTTAATCATATAAATATAATGTACAAATTAAAAGAACTGTTAAAAATCCATTGATATCTTCTAAAGTAAAAATAATTACTTTTATTCTAATATTTTAAAAAATTTATAACACTCTTGATAAAAATGTTATATTTTTTAAAATTTTGATTTATACAAACTATCAAAATAGTATCTATAAAAGATAATTAAATTTTCAAATATTTTAATAAGTATCGTTGATTTTTTTTTGTGCTTGTAATTTTATGTCATTAACAAAAAAAAAGATTTTTTTTTACATTTTAAGAATTTTTATCTAGCAATCGCTTGCATCAAGGATCGATTTTATTCTCTACATGCAAGAGAGATTATCCTTGCTGTTAGCAGGGTCTATTTCTAGTGTTCACCAAGAAAAGACACAACCAACTAGAGCAAGGGAAAAACAAACAAAAGATAACAATCAATAAAAGTTAGTTCAGTTAAAAAAAAAAGATTTAACCATTAACCCATAAGATCAGGAAATTAAATCTCGTTGTCGATGTGAGGATCTTATTGATGAGTAATTTATAGATATTTTTATACGTTTTTTAAATTTAAAAGCATATTCTAACCTTGATAAGCTCTTGAACCCAACTCATTTAAACTTTATCCAACTCCCAACAAATAAAACATAGCATATACTCTAATGAACCTGCATCACAAAACTTCATCGATATATTCTCTTTCTTATTCCAATTTCACATTTTCATTTCTTGCGGGGGACTTTACGTTTGAGCATCTTAATTATTTTTCAGTAAATTTTATTATAACTGCCATATGAACAGATTACTAAATATCTTAGATGCACAAAGTCAAACAAGTGTGAAAGAAATATTATTACGATAAGGAGGTTTGAGCTGTGTAAAAAGTTATGGAAATATGCCTTTGATATTAACCGCTGCTGAATTGAGTTACAAGAGAACGCAATCAGGTTAAACTTTATTATAAAATCAAAAGTACGTAGAATGGATTAAAATCTGGAAATAAACAGAGTTCCCGAGTGATGAACATGAACTAACAGAAGATTTCCGTTTCCCCACTTTTTCACGCGACACTGATTAATTAATTGCCCAATTGAAGAAAGGGAAAGTGGATAAGAATAACCATGAGCATTGATTTTGCAATGCACTTTACACAATAGCCGTTCTTAATTTGTGCCCTGGAGCCAGACTTTCAAATTAAAACGCATCGCTTTCTAATAATTTGTACTGTCTTTCATGGAATAAAAGTGGATTCAGGCTCGTTTCCCACTACAGATAGAAAGTGTTGATTAACCCATTAATCCCCGTCCCATCCCTAGCTAGTTGGTTTGATTGACAGCCTATAATTGTCTTGCCCAACAACTCGGCTTTCCTACAGTCACAACTCTAAAATGTATATGCATGGTGCATGTAAACAGTACGAAAATAGTTCTGATTTGATCCCATTTATAAATTATATTTTAAAAAATTTATTTAATTTTATTTATAAATTATGATGTAATTTTATAAATAATATTTAAAATATATTTTTATAATTATCCTTTATAGGAGAGAAAAAATAATGACATTACTTTTTAAATTTATTATATATGAACATATTTAAAATTTTACACATTTTTATTTTTTATACTTTTTTACATTGCTATTGATGCGTTTGATGAAAATAACTTACAAAAAGGATTGGAGAAGTAATTAACAAGGACTCCCTCAATTTTGAAATGATTGTTATATTTAAAATTATTATGCGCACAGATTAATAGAATTATTGCATATATTATTTTTAGTAGATTTTTCGATAGAAGTATGCATTAATAACCTTAAATACAGAACTAATTGATATTTATTAAAAATGTCAAAGAAAACCAAAACTCTAGACTGATAATTGTTATGAGATGAGGTGAATGCACCAAAATAATACTTCCTGCTGTCTTTTTTTTCCATAAGGACACGTTAATTAAAAAATTAGTTGATAAAGTTTTTAAAATTTTAGAATTACCTTCAATGAAATTCATTAATTAGAGGAAATTGTTTAGTTAGTTATAATTTCGGCAATGAGCTGTAGCTCAAACGGCATGATCTTTCCCTTGATACAAGGGGTTCTAAGATCAATCCAAAATGGTTCAAAACGAGAAAAATTTGTGTGACATGCAGGTCATGTGTGTTGTGTGCAGTGTGCAGTGCGAGATAACCTGGTCTGTGTGGAAAAAATTAGATGTGCTATGAAAAAAAATAGTTATAAATTTATTTAATTATAAGTTAAGGAACATAAAAACACAGGATATTAAACAAATTCCAGACAGATAATTTTATATAAAAAAATCATGAAAAAGAAGACTTGTAATAAAGACCAAAGAAAACGCATGAAAAATGGATAGCTTGCAGCATGTATGCATGATGTTGGAGGCTTTATGACCACGTATGTCTACTATTCTCACATAACCACCCTCCATCTCGCCTGCCACGATCGCTTTTTTTTTTTATGGGTTCCATTATTAGGAAGAAAATCCACTATTGATGGACAGATGTAAAGCAAAATGAATAAATAAAGAATGGAAAGAAAGATGGATGAAAAAAGTAGCGCATGGAACTCGTGTAGAATCAATCGTCGGCCATGAATTATGTCACGTGCGGAGTACCCAGGCCTCGTGCCATTAAAACATATAATCATATATATATATATATATATATATCCATTTAATCCCATTTCTATAGTTGTTAAATGCTCAGTTGACTTGCCGAGTTTAACATTTTTAAGTTTTTAGCTTACAAAATTATATTAACTTATTTATAAACTCAAATTAACTAAAACTCAATTAAATTTGTAAGTTAATTTTTTGAGTTTATTGTTTTTAAGTTTTTGATTTATACAATTATATTATATCAACTCAAACCAGATGCAATTGGTTAAACTTGTTAAACTTATCAATTTTTAATTAAATTGAGTGAATTGTATAGAACTAGTTTCATGCAAGCACAGGATACAGTTAAAAAAAAAACTCAAAAAAATTAATATTAATAAAAAAAGAAAACAATAAAAATAAGTTGTTTTATTTTAAAATTTTTATATTGAATATGATAATCTATCAATATATGTAGATTTAATTTCAATTATTTGTATTTAAAATATATTTAAATTAAATTATGATGATATTTTATATTTTAATTATTTAGTCATATATTTTTAATGATTATTTATTTATAAAAGTAAATTCTTTTGAGTTTAGGATCCAAATTTACATTCTTGTTACAAGTTTGACGCCTTTACTTTCTCCTACAATTGAACAAATATTTTTATTTAAGGGTTCGATTCATAATTAATCCATATGAAGGGAATCTAATTGAAAAGAACGTATTTTTTTTACCCTATATATACCTTGAAAAGCAAGTCAGTTTCATAATTCAGTTCAGAACAGGCGATCAGGCTGGGGCCATACTTTGCGGGCGTTGCGCCAAAACCACGAAACGATGAAGACGCGTACGACACCACAGTCCAATCTATTATATCTGTGATTAACATGCATCCCAACGAATTCTTAAATTCGACCATGACTACACAATCTACATGTTCTGATCAGTTAAAATTTAATCACGTTCTTAATATAAAGCTCACCGGCTCTGTTCATTATATTCTGACTCTTGCATTCATATACACCTGAATACAAGTAGGCTTCTGTTTTTTGTTTTTTGTTTTTTGTTTTTGGTACCTCCAAAAACCAGCTTCACCGCACTGCAATTCACCCATCGTCACTCCCGATTTAACAATTTATTATGAGAATTGAAATTAAAATTTAACGATGACAGTAGGTTTGTAATATCTGTTGTGTAAAAAAAGTTAAATATAAAAACCTGGCGTGGCGTTTATCGAGTAAGGGCTAACTGTAATTTGCTTATTGGTGGCATGGTGCTTTACCAAGTCAATCGTCTCTTCAACAATGTAAAGTCAAGGGAGCCCCCAAAAAAAATTGCTAAATTAAGAATGATGTGCATGCTGACGTTTCGAATATGGGTTCCTGGACCACAAGGAAGGCCGAAAGGAGTATTATTTTATTTATATATATATATTTTTTTGGGTTTCCCACCTTACTTTAAGCGTTGAATAGTACCGTATTGTAGGAGGGGCTTTGAGCAATCCTCTCTTTTTCTCTGTTTGTTTCCCTCTGCTAATTTTTTTATCACGGTCGATTTGTTAATTAACTAGCTAAAAACGGGTTTAATCAGTGAAAATAAATTAAAAATTAAAAAATGGGGAAAAAACACGATAAATCAAATGTAGTATACTATCACCGTTAATTTAATATTA